AGAGCAAGATTCCGTCTCAAAAAGAAAAAAAAAAATAAAAATAAAAAAGATAAAGCAGGCCTCTTGTAGATGAATGAGCAAAAACAAGAAAATATATGAGTTCAATAAAGTGATATGAAGGTAAAGTCCAGACTCATTTAGAAGTACAAAAGAAATAGACTAGAGGGAGAAAAAGAGAACCTATTTTCTGCCTTTAGTGATTTGTTTGTTTATTTGTTTGTTTGTTTGTTTGTGATGGGCTCTCACTCTGTCGCCAGGCCGGAGTGCAGTGGCACTATCTCCTCTGCTCACTGCAACCTCCGCCTCCCAGGTTCAAGCGATTCTTCTGCTTTAGCCTTCCCAGTAGCTGAGATTACAGGCATGCAGCACTACAGCCAGCTCTTTTTTTTTTTTTCCGTAGAGACGGGGTTTTACCATGTTGGCCAGGCTGTACTCGAACTCCTGACCTCAAATGATCTGTCCACCTCGGCCTCCCAAAGTGCTGGGATTACAGGTGTGAGCCACCAAGCCCAGCCTGCCTTTATTGATTTTTAATTCAGTAGTTTTCATCATCTTTTTATTAGAACTTTCCTACCTTTAGGAAGAACATTGCAAAATATCATTGCAAACTGTACCCTCATCTACAGAAAAACGCATAATTATTTTCAAAAAATAATATCCCCCAAAAAATCATTGTTTGCATTAAGTAATGAACTTCTGATTGAGTGTTAATGCCAGTAATTTTTTTTTATTTTTAATTTTCCACCCCACACTGCCCTGCCAGTAATGTTTTTTATCATGGGAAAATGTTTTAATGAATAAGGAAAATATGATAAATATGCTGCACTTTTTGGAAGGAGAAGTTGTATAGGTTATGTAATGTTATTGGTGGACATCAATTAATAGTAATGGGAATAAGAATTGTTTACAGTTAATTGTAGGCTACGTGTTTGTTTCCCATATCCAAGACGTTAATTAAGCATATAAAACTGTCAGAATAATTTGATGAGTTTCATTTGTGTTGTAAGAATGTAAATTAATGGTGTGTGGTCGATAAGACAACAATCTTTACCTTAAGTCTATAGTAGTTTTATGTCATTCTCATAATTGCACAATTCATATTTATTACTCACATGCTTGGGATGTGCTAAATCCTGTTTAAATCAAGTTAATGAGAACTTGTAATAAAAAAATATTTATTAATATCTCAACAACTATTTAAGGTCCATCCTGATTCCAACCCCAGCTACTAATAACTGCTGAATCATTACATAATAAGAATGAAATGAACCCTGTAAAGATGATACAATTTGAAGTGCTTTGGAAAGCTTCACCCACTGCCCGAAATCTTCCCCATCTATACATATCAGCGCCTGATAGTCTGTTAACATAGATTAATTCCTTTGAGTTCACTATTTTTCAAAAAAAAAAAACAAACTTCAGGGTGAACAGAAAATGGGACTGGGAAATGAAAATAAAAGGGAATAGGCTGGGCGAGGTGGCTCACGCCTATAATCTCAGCACTTTAGGAGGCCGAGGTGAGTGGATCACCTGAGGTCAGGAGTTAGAAACCAGCCTGGCCAACATGGTGAAACCCTGCCTGTACTAAAAATAAAAAAAAATTAGCCGGACGCTTTGTCGCATGCCTGTAATCCCAGCTACTTGGGAGGCTGAGGCAGGAGAATCGCCTGAACCCAGGAATCGGAGGTGCAGTGAGCTGAGGCTGTGCTGTTGCACTCCAGCCTGGACAACAAGAGCAAAACTCCACCTCAAAAAAAAAAAAAAAAAAGAAAGAAAGAAAAGAAAAGAAGACCAGAAGCAGTGGCTCACGCCTGTAATCCCAACACTTTGGGAGGTCGAGGCAGGCGTGTCACAAGGTCAGGAGATCGAGACCATCCTTGCCAACTTGGTGAAACCCCATCTCTACTAAAATAATAATAATAATAATAAAATTAGCCAGAAGTGGTGGCAAGCACCTGCAATCCCAGTTACTCGGGAGGCTGAGGCAGGGAAATCACTTGCCGGGCGGCAGAGGTTACAATGAGCTGAGATTGGGCCACTGCACTCCAGCTTGGCAGCAGAGCAAGACTCCATCTCCAAAACAAAAAGAAAAAGAAAAGGGAATAAATTCATTGGAATCAGATAAGGTGCTTTGTATTAACCACGGTAATAATACACTACAAAGTAAAAAGTCTGAGCAACTTAATCCTGTTTTTGAGATTAAAAAACAATAAGCTCTTGCGCAGTGGCTCGCGCCTGTAATCCCAGCACTTTGGAAGGCCAAGGGGGACGGATCACCTGAGGTTGAGAGTTCGAGACGAACCTGACCAACATGGAGAAACCCTGTCTTTACCAAAAATACAAACATTAGCCGGGCGTGGTGGCGGGTGCCTGTAGTTCCAGCCACTCAGGAAGCTGAGGCAGGAGAACTGCTTGAACCCAGGAGGCGGAGGTTGCAGTGAGCCAAGACTGCACCACTGCACTCCAGTCTGGGTGACAGGGCAAGACTCCTTTCAAAAAAAAAAAAAAAGGTTAGCAGAAAACGCTGGAAAAGTGATATTCCTAAGTGAAGGTAGGAGAAAGCCAGAGGAAGGAGAGGAATGAATCCCTTTAATATTGGGAGAAAACCTTTAATATTGAAGCCGGGGGCGGTGGCTTATGCCTGTAATCCCAGCACTTTGGGAGGCTGAGGCGGGTAGATCATCTGAGGTCAGGAGTTTGAGAACAGCCCGGCCAAAGCAGGGACCGTTTTCGCTGTGTATTCTGAAATACAGAATACACAGCGAGAGAAATGGTGAAACCCTTTCTCAACCAAAAATACAAAAATTAGCTGGGCATGGTGGTGCCTGCCTGCAATCCCAGCTACCGCGGAGGCTGAAGCAGGAATATTGCTTGAATCCAGGAGGCGGAGATTGCAGTGAACCGAGATCGCGCCACTGCACTCCCAGCCTGGGCAACAGAACAAGACTCTGTCTCTCTCTCTCTCCCTCTCTCTCTCTCTCTCTCTCTCTCTCTCACACACACACACACACACACACACACAACTAATATTGAGAGAAGGCTATAAAGAGGGCATGGAAAGAGGCTGCAAATAAATGACCCCTTGATAAAATGTAAGAATTTGGCCTTGATAAAACTTGATCCCAACCTAAAGGTCTTATTCACACCTAAATAGGTTTTAATTTTATTAAAGTATTGTAATACCTACATATTTTGAAAAAAATCAGTACAGAAGGGCTTATAGTGAGAAGCAGCTATTTTCTATTCCATTTCTAGTTTCACTCCCGTAAGC